TCTATTTTGTGATCTCCCTTGTGAACACCTATTTGGATAACGCGGACATGGCTAATTCGTCCGTCAGGATCATCAATACGTCACAACACTGGCACCGCCTACCAGCACCACCTTCACAAGTGTTGCCTGGCACAACCTTAACCATCCAGCCGGCGACAGGATCAGTGCCAACTACTCCACCTATACCTATTCCTGTGAGAATCACGCGGTTGATTTGCACTAACACAGAGATGTTTGCCATATAATCCGAGCCAAATTGGTGAACATTGGGGAGGGAGGGGGTCAAAACACCCGAAAATGAGCGTCACGAGATTTATGGACGGCTCCTTAAATATGTCTTTGCTCGCATCCTAGCTACCCGGTGCATAAACAGTATTTTCATCTATCGATTCAGATTTATGGCTATCCGTTAGCTTCACCTTGGTGGATATAAATTTTTATAGAATAGTTATTTGTATGACCATTCTGTCTTCTTTATCACTCTTTGTGAACACCTATTTGGATAACGCGGACATGGCTAATCCGTCCGTCAGTATCATCAATACGTCACAACACTAGCACCGTCTACCGGCACCACCATAACAAGTGTTGCCTTGCATACTTTCACAAGTGTCGACTTGCACAACCTTAACCATCCAGCTTGGGACTGGATCAGTGCCAACTACTCCCACTAGTGAAAAGGAAGCACAAGTGTATCACGACCTATTCCTGTGAGAATCACATGTTTGATTTGCACTTAACACAGAGATGTTTGCCATATAAACCGGGCCATACATTGAAGCTACACAATCAAAGCCGCATAGACAATAAATTGGCTAAAAATACTCTCAAATCGCAAGCAATTCACATGACTTAAGTGTTGTAGCTACCAAGTTTCTACTTTAAAAAGGTTTCTAAGGAAGGTTTAAAGGTTTAAAAGGATTCTGGGTTCGTTTCTCTAAAGCAGTGGTCGGCAGGGCCCTATTTCAGGGGCAGATGAAATTTCTGTACCCGAGCTCTGCCCCTCGCACACAGTATAGAACGTATTAAACGTCCTGCTCGCATCCTACTTTCTGCTGTTTGTTAGTAATTATTATGCATCAAAGTCACCGGAGAAAACAAAAACCATAGTCAAAAAACTTAAGAACAGAGGGCAGCCTCAGATGGAAAAACCTATTCCCTAGTAAAAGTACTCCGTCAACGATGCATTTTATTTCTTCTATTTCTAATGAACGCAGCCCCATGAAAATAGCATTTTATTTTGCATATACCAGTAAGATCCGTAGTGTTTATAAATTTTTTAACATTGGCTTGTCTTTTTACCAGCACGAGTAGATTACAAAAGTCCAAAATTGACACAATGTTCTTGGAGATAGTTTTTAAGGCACGGTGGACAGCAAAGCGATTGTAATAGTCGATTGTAATATACATTGGATTGTCAACTGTCGTTGGTGGAAGTTCCGGGAATGCATTATCAAGTTTTAAGGTTGTTTTCTTTTTTCGTTGGGGGGTTGATGGCAAACGGTGCAAACCGGTTTTCGCCTGGTTGGGAGGCCCTTATGGCCATATTTAGTCTTCAATATTTGTATTCCTTAAGTATTTTTTTAGCAGGGAATTTGAAAATATATTGCAAAAAGCCAGGTGGAGAGTATTAAAGATAAGGACCACGCCAGTCCAATAAGAATAGAGACCGATCGGGAAGCGTCTAATGAAGAAAAAAGATGTTCGCTCGCTACGAGAGATAGTCAAAGACTGTATGTATACACATATATTTGTACTTTAAAGTATATATCGACGCATTTTCCGACGCAAGATTTAATCATTTTTTACAGACTTTTTCAGGAAAAGCTCCTACTTAAAAACTTTGATTTATTGACATTTTGACGATATTTTTGTGGAAATTCTTGATACACGCTTAAATTTTTTAGAAGAATTTAAATCTATTAAATTCTATTAATTTATTAATTAAATTATTTTCTAAAAATTAAACTTTTTTAAAAGTGTGCAAAGCAGTCAAAGAGATATCTTCGACCCTATAAAGCAGTGGTCGGCACGGCCCTATCCCGAGGGCATAGGAAATTTCTCTGCCCGAGCTCTGCCACACACACACAGTATAAATGTGTGAAACGTCATGCACACAGCTTACTTTCTGCTATTCGTTACTAACACTAATACGTTAAAATCATATCAATGTATTGGCGTGCCGACCACTGCTATAAGGTATATACATATTTTCTTGATCAGGATACTAGTAAGTAATAAGTTGATATAAACATGTCCGTTTGTCTTTGTGTTTCTATGTCCCATGTTAACCATGATCTAATGGTAAAATTATCTACATTTAATTATAAGATCTTGTGTTTGATTTTCAGCAAACAAAGCTTTTTAGTAATTAAATGTTTCTTACTTTTTAATTTTTGTATACATAAAATGTAGTTTAATAAACACATTTCATTAAAAGTAAAGGAGAGTATTACATTTTATTAAACGTTGATCTTACCAGTTAGATGATCTTTTTACTAGTTATTTTGCTAGTTATTTTTTTTTATTTGCTTTAATATATTTAAACTGGGCCCTGTTAATTGCCTCCCGTCATATCGTTACCGGCAAAAATATAGAATCTAGCTCCTACCTCGTACTTGTGCTGGGTTACTCAAGTTACTGCACATGCTCATTCTTGGTCAGCTTGATTTCAAATTTCTCTTGGAACCGCTATTATTTACAGTTCGTAAAAAGGTTATTAGGTCCATCCGAACCCTATCATTATGTAAATCTAATTTAGCCAAACATGATCCTTTTCTTGTTATTATTAAAAATTTCAATCCAGTATTCCTAGATGTAACCACTAACCATACAACATATGGACCTTTTATATATCTTATCTTCTTAATATGTATATATAAATCTCGTGTCACAATGTTTGTCTTCAATGGACTCCTTAACCACTTACCCGATTATAATAAAATTCGCACACCACGTTCAGTTCGATCTAACTTGAGAGATAGGATAGTTTAAATCTCAAATTATAATCGCAATTTTAATTAAATGCTAATTTATTGTCTGTTATTATTTGACAGTCACAATTATGTGTTAACTCCAAATGATTCCAACAGATGTCTAAGTCTTACTGGGTTGAGTAAGTAATCAATAGACGGCGCTGCTATGGTAAATCTATGAACGTGTCATATAACCTACATTGTAACAGCATAATTACCACGTGTTGTTGACGCTATAAAATTAATTAAATATATTTTGTAAATTGTTGATAAAAATGAAAGTGTAAATTTTCCGATTGAATTTTTACATTCATTAGATATCCCTGGAATGCCACCACATAATCTTCGATTAAAGATTAGTTCCCCTATTATTCTCCTCCGTTATTTGAATCCACCTCAATTATGTAACGGTACGCGTTTGCTCATCAAAAAGATCACCGGAAACATTCTTGAATCAACCATTTTGGCTGGGTTAAAAGGAAAAGTGGTCCTGCTGCCACCTATTCCACCCTTTAAAAGGCTACAGTTTCCAATTCGTTTAGCTTTCGCCATGTCTATAAATAAATCTCAAGTTCAAACAATGTGCATTTGTGGTTAAGATTTGGAAAATTCATGTTTTTCTCAATTTTTTTTCTCAATAGTGGAGTTTGTGACTGATGTTCTCTTATTGTTCCTCTTAGATTGTTTACTATAATGTTATGGTATATAACAAAAACTTTAGCCACAGCAACGCGTGGCCGGTTCAGTTAGTATATACTATATATATATGTATTTATGTCGATAACAAATTCTAGCGACGACTTTTTTAAAGAACCAAAATATTAAAGGATATTATTAAATTAATGACATCGTTAGAGTATGCATGCACAAGCCTCTTGCAGAAAAACAAAAATCTTAAAAGCAATCTGCGTTTTAAGTGACTCCGACTGAAATATATCCTGTTCCTATCTCAGTATTTTGATATTTAATGATTCGTAAAAATATATATATATACAAAACATTTTACTGCTAAAACTTAATAAAACTCCAAAATAAATGTAAAATGTATGCTGAAATATTAAAAAATATAATATAACAAATAGAATAATTTCTTTTACTTCCACCCAATAACGAATACCCGAATTTTTTTTAGGGCAGCAAGCCTGAAAAGTTAGAAAAATCAAAAATTTTGTGCGCTGCACAGTAGTCGAGCTTGTATGGAACTGCGGCCATATATACTTATAGATGATAAAAATCTAGAAAAATATAAACTTACTGACTTATAAAAAACTGTCCCACGACAACCTCCTCAAAAAAAGTATGAGATCAAAAAAATAGTTTAATACATTTAAGTAGAATACGAACAATATTACAAAATCATATACATAATTTTTAATTTTTTTCATTTAGTAAAGAAATGGTTGTCTCTAGCAGCGGTGATTTTTGGATATAAGTAATTTTTCTTTGCCCACTAATAAATGGGTCAGAGCCATGGGTTCTGAATAAAACGAGACCAATTTTATTTCGAAATTATGAAAATTGTTGAAGTTATAACACTTTTCCCAAAACAAGTCAGACCAATCATGCTGGCGTTCCGGAGTAATAGTGTGTGCCCTTCCATTCCGCCTATTCCTTTCTTTCACACACTTTTACTCCGGAGCGCTAGTAAAGTTGCACTGAAAAAAATTACGCGTTTAGGAATTTTTAAGAGCAAAAAAGTCCCGAAAACCTTTTTTTCCAAATAAATCAAGATTTTGAGGGTGTTTCAAACATGGTTTTATACTATACTCGACCTAATAAACAATTCCTACTAGGTCTCTTCAAAAGTTCCTCCAATTTTTCTTTTTTTTTGTCGCAATGTGTAATTGATGATTTTATTATGAAATATCATAGGCATCGGCAGTTAGGCAGTTATTCAATATAATTAAAATAGAATTTAAATTAAAAACAGCCATTTAACTGAAAAGATATATGAACTTTGTCTTTGCCCGAAGTTACCAATCCTGTCCCGTTTTTAATTATTATACATATTATCATTTTTTAAAGGATGTTTTTAAACAATACACATTGGGTAGATCATTGTACAACTGATCGAACTTTTTGGCCACCGCCCTGTAAAAAACGAAAAAAAGAAGATGATCTAATGCGTCATAAAACAGGTTGTGCCAGAACAGAGGGTTTTTACAAATTGGATGTTCGAGAAAAGGCTAAACATAAGTACCATCATGCAAAAGCAAATGCTGAAGATTTGCTTAATGAAGACCGTTGTGAAGATCCTACTGCACTTACCAACCACCATCACAATAAATTAATATCTAAAATGCAAGGAATTTCCCGAGAAGCACGGTCAAATCAGCGACGGCTCCTAACAGCGTTTGGTTTAATCGGAGAGTCTGAACTTTTAAAATTCAATCAACTTAAATTCAGAAAGAAACAGCTTAAGTTTGCAAAATCTGCCATACATGACTGGGGATTATTTGCAATGGAACCCATCGCAGCTGATGAAATGGTCATTGAATACGTTGGGCAAATGATTCGCCCAGTGGTAGCAGATTTAAGGGAGTCCAAATATGAAGCTATTGGAATCGGAAGTTCCTATCTGTTCCGTATAGATATGGAAACTATAATCGATGCTACAAAATGTGGCAATTTGGCGAGATTCATAAATCATAGTTGCAATGTAAGTAGTACTATCTTTATTAAAAAGTTAAAAGTAATATATTTTTTTTACTTTGCAGCCGAATTGCTATGCTAAGGTTATTACCATAGAGTCTGAAAAGAAAATAGTTATATATTCAAAGCAACCCATTGGTATTAACGAGGAAATAACATACGACTATAAATTCCCTTTGGAGGATGAAAAGATTCCGTGTCTATGTGCCGCGCAAGGTTGCCGTGGCACCCTTAATTGAAGCTTTTTATTAATATTAGTACGTGTTAGGTGTTGTCGAAATGTGTGAATTTAAATCACTTAGAATTTAAAAAAAAACCTTATGTAAATATAAAACAAAAATATCTATAAATCATTAAATTTATTAGAATTTGGGATATTTCAAAATAAGTCTAAAACGCCAAATACTAAGTTTAACAGTCAACAAAAATGGTTGGAACTGTGCTTGCATTTTACATTTCGACCAGGTCTATGCATATGAAACTGCGATATATTTTTGGTTAACATTTTTTTTTTAGCATCTTTTGAAATCTGGCAACACTGCTCAAAGGTTATTTGCGAGTTTTTTTCCAATAGCAAAATGTCGAGTTTTATACCCACAATCAACGATTCGCGGACATCGTTGCTTTTTTTTTAAAGCAAAATTGCTGTGAAAGCCAAAAAAATGCTTGTGGAAGCTTATGGTGTGCATGCCCTAAGCATTAGAAGTTGCCAAGCCTGGTTTAAAAAATTCCGGAGCGGTGAATGAGAATGAAGAGCGTGGCAGACCACTAAAAAAGTTTCAGGACGATGGTCAAACACAAGAACAACTAGTAGAACAATTGAATGTTGACCAAAGCACCGTTGGAAGACGCCTCAAAGACATAGGAAAAAAGTTAAAGCCTAGTACTCTGACGACGGAAATCCGCTGTAACTCGTGTGATAGCGAAATCGCTCTTTATTTGGCTACCGAGCTAGTGTGACTAACAAAATTAAGGAAAAGGGTAATACTGAACAGCTGTTTTCTTTCTCTCTCTCTAATATTTCTCTTTCAATTTTCGCTCCATGTTTGGGGCATGATACAATTATACATGGTTATATATAATATATCATGGTTTGGGGTGTCAAAATAAATCAAATGAAAAAAATGAATTATTTTTACACCCCGAGATCAGCTGTTTACTATTTTGATCCGGCAACGCCATTCAATTTGACAGCCATTTTCGTCGTTAGAGTACCGGCAAAATCTAGGAGGCACAAATTTCTTCTTCCTTTTTTCACACCGTTTTTTATACCCTTGCAGAGAGTATTATAATTTTGGTCAAAAGTGTGCAACGCAGTGAAGGAGACATCTCCGACCCTATAAAGTGTATATATTCTTGATCAGGATCACCTCCTGAGTTGATATGAGCATGTCCGTCTGTCCGTCTGTCCGTCTGTCTGTCTGTCCGTTTCTACGCGAACTAGTCTCTCAGTTTTAAAGCTATCGTCTTGAAACTTTGCACACACCCTTCTTTCCTTTGCACGCAGTATATAAGTCGGAACGGCCCGGATCGGCCGACTATATCCTATAGCTGCCATATAACTGATTGATCGGAAATGGTATAATTTTGGTGTTTTTAGAGTTAGAGAGTTCAAATTTGACATGAGAGCTATTTTTGGCAAAACATTACGTCATGCCAAATTTCATAAAGATCGGCCGACTATATCTTATAGCTGCCATATAACTGAACGATCGGAAATGACCCAACTTTCGTGTTTTTGTAGATAGAAAGCTGGAATTTAATACAGATTCTATTTTTGGTCAGTTGATCCAACCTACCAAATTTCATTAGGATCGGCTGACTATATCAGCCGGAAGGAAGTCGTTTTTGCTTTGCATTGTCACGGGATGAAAAGTGGATCTGTTTTCAAAACCCCAAACGAATTGGTATGAGCTCCTAAAAACGGGTGAAACCGTTGATGGCAAACGCTTCCAGCAACAATTGGAAGAACTGAAAGAAAATGTGCTCCAAAAACGCATAAAATACGCAAAAAGGCAGAACGAAGCAATTCTTCTGGACGACAACGCGGCATCACACCGGGTAAGAGGCACCAAGGAATTGGTGGAAGCATGGAAGCCCATGCGGCTTATTCACCTGACTAGGCGCTATTAGATTACCATTTGTTCGCCAGTTTGAGACCCGGATTAGCCAACCAGAGGACTGGTTTGGGTCCAAGGAAAAGGAATTCTTCTGGCGAGAATCTTTGCCCGAAAGATGTGCAAATGTGTGGCTTCTAAAGGGGCATACTTTGAAGGTTGAAATTGTCACCATTTTTTTTTAATAAAGCCTAGTACTCTGACAACGAAAATCCGCTGTCACACGTGTGATAGCGAAATCGCTCTTTATTTGGCTACCGAGCTAGTGTGGCTAGCCAAAACTAATTCAAACCGATTGGATTTTGGTGTTTTCTTTATGTATTTCGCCGCTGAGCTGATTAAGAAAAAGAAAACTGGGTCAAAATCAATCACAAATCATTTCAATGCCATTTTATGGAATTAAAATGCCCCTTGTAGATCAAATCCCATATTATGGGCTTCGCCTTGACCGCACTAATTAGCTTGACTTTATCCTCGCGGGCCGACAATTTTTCGGTCCAACAATTTTTTTCTCTCAATTTTCGCTCCATGTTTTGGCTATCAAAAGAAATCAAATAAATTCTTTTTACACCCCAAAATCAGCTGTTTATTTCTTTTTGATCCGGCAACGCCGTTCAATTTGATATCCATAATTTTCGTCGTCAGAGTACCGGCAAAATCTAGCTGGCAAAAATTTCTTCTTCTTCTTTTTTCACACGGTTTTTTTATATGGAGTTTGACAGCTGTCACACGTGGGACAGCGGATTTTCGTCGTCTGAGTACTGGGCTTAAATCTCCAAAGTTATAAGAAAAAACGCAGCTTCATATGCATAAATCTGGTAATCTGCGGTAAGTCTAGTAAAACTCTTTAAGTTAAAGATGTTAATGAGAATGAATCGGCAAGAAAAAGTAGTACAAGTTCTTCCTAAAAATTTAAACTATATAAAACATTAAAATGTATTACTATACAGTGGATATGTTGAGCACAAGCGTTTTATTTCCAAATTCTTAAACGGTAATTAATAAATAAGAAAAATTTGTACATATTGGCATAAGATAGTTACTAAACTAAAAATACAACTTTTATAAAAAATAACTTGTAAAGTCTGAAAGTTAAGAGAGGAGAAGTTAAGTTACTGCTATAAAAATAAACTATTATAAACAAAAATATTTTTGTTTGAACATTTTTATTGAAAATTTTGTTTAATTGATATTTGCATATCTAGTTGAGCTTGTGCAATATTTTCCAAAGCAGATTGAATTCTTTCAAGTAACAATTCTCCTTTTTGGACAACCTCCTCCAATTCGACTGCTGTTTCCTGATTTTCGTTTTCCAGTTTCTTAAGGCTGGAATTTTGGAGCTCAATTGAACTGTCTTCGTTTGGTAATGATTCAATTAATGTGTCAATATCTTTGGCGCATCGAGCAATTAGTTGTGCAAATAGCTGCGCATAATCCTCCGGTGGATTTAAATGAGTAGCATTTGGGGTTTGTGAACCTGTTCTGTCAAAGTTTAAAAATTTACTTGGAAACGATGTTTGTTGTATAACTCCAATAGCGTTGCAGAAGTGCTCGGCTTGCTGGTAATGAAAAATATAAATTAATGGTAAATTTGCGGTAACGTGATAGTTATTATAAATCATTCTTAATATTATATTAGTTAAATCACTCTTAAATATTTAATGTTTTGGCATTTGCACATAAACGCTTACACACAAACCATATTGCAACATATAACATTTTCGGAGACGGATTTGGAAGATATAGATTTAGGAATATCAACCCAAACCAAAGATTAGTGCTACGTAACAACAAACTACACCCGAACTGTTGATTTGCAGAAAACCCAACTTTAAAATTTTGGAAAATTTTTAAATTTTATGATGTTTCCGAAATAGAGAATTAGTTTAGTCAAAAGTTTGAAAACGCCATTGTTAAATTGAAAAACGAAAAGCAACAAGAGTACGTAGCAGACGTAAGCAAACTTCGGGGAAACGCAAGCAGTAGAAAGAAAGAAAATAATTTAACAATAAAAAATCCTATAAACAATAACAAAAGACCCTAGGTACATCCGTAACCCTAAAAATTTCAAACATAATAAAAAATAATTTTAAAAAACCCTAAAAGACATAGTATTAACTATATCAATCCAAACCCATTAGTGGGGCAGCTTAGCCACACAAATTTTTTATAAACTTATTGTTACGCTCTTGAATATACAGTAGATACGAACAATAAACAGAATAACTACAAACTTAAAAAATACAATTTTTTTTTTAAATCGTATCTGTTTTGATGGCTATCTTGTACATATTTATTTTTTATCACCCTTTAGTTATTATGGTATCGAAGGTTTATTTTAAAACATATGCACGAGGGTAGGCTGATAAAAAGTCCTTACAAAGAAACATTTTTTTTTTGAAATTCGTAAATATTTTATAGTGTTTTTTTTAGTGTTTTCTATCTACTGTGAAAGTTTCATACGGTTTTATCAACACTGGTAATTTTGGCGGGACTTTTAGCGCATTCACTTTTGCATTATCGTCAACATGAATAAAATTGAATATCGTGCTGTCATAAGATTTCTGTTTTTAAAAGAGAAATCCAACGACGATATTAAAAAGGAGGTAGACAAAGTTTATAAGGATTCAGCTCCATCGTTTTCAACAATAAAATATTGGACTGCTGAATTTAAACGCCGACAGACAAGCATTTTTGACGATGATCGCCCGGGTCGTACCAGAGAGGTGACAACACCAGAAATTGTGGATAAACTCCATGGAACGGTATTGGATGATCGCCGAATCAAGCTGCGAGAGACTGCAAATGCTCTAAACATTTCTCAGGGAACATGTTTGAAACATTTTACACGAATTTTTACACATGAGTAAGCTTTCATCAAGATGGGTGCCGCGATAGCTCACAATGGATAATAAACGCAACCGCTTGCACATTGCGAAGGAGAGTTTGGCATTGCAACCGCTTGCACATTGCGAAGGAGAGGTTCTTTTGGATTTTTTTGAAAAAATCGTTTTTTTTTTTTTTTTAATAAAATGAAAGTTACATATGTGTAGAACAGTGGTGCTCATCCCATTGCTCTCGCTGCTCATTTGTTTTTGCAAATTCTCATGCATACGGAGTTTTGTTAGTCTGCTCACGCCATAAGATTCGTTGCTCACGCCATAAACATTGTTGGTCCCATCATAAGCAACCATCAGGCAATTACAATAACAATTTTTCGTGTTTTCCCTATTCTCCTCAAACGTACTTATCCGAATGAATTTTGTTGTTGGAGTGCCGAAAACTTTTCACTGCAAGAAATTCATTCTTGTTTTTGTTTCTGCCATAAAGGTCGACCTGTAGCGATGAATTTGTTCTTCGCACAAAATTTTTTTTAAACTAAGAAGCTCTGCATATTTGTCATAGTATAATAATAAGCTGTTGTAAAATATGTAGGGATATTTTTTTAATTGCTGTAATAAAATGTATTTTTTATTATATTGATATTTTTAAACCCCTTGTGAATGTTACTATAATTTTATTTTTCAGTGCAGCCACATGGATGGGAAAAAAATTCTCGCACCAATGTATTGGTGATTTTTTGCATTGGTATGGGAGTTTGCTCTTCCGTATGCAGAGCTTGGGCACCACTGGTGTAGAATATACGTGCCAAGGGATATTTCGATACGACTCCTATAGATACGACTCTTGAGCTAGAACGTGTCAAACATACCCATGATAACAAGAAAGCTATCTCAAGGCAAAGTTTCTAAAAACTCTAAACGTTTTTCTCGGAACCATATTTTCAAACCTTTTTTGTATGCCTTATACCTAAAATTGGCATATTAAAATTGTTTATTTATAATTTTTAAACGAGATTAAGGTAAAAAAAAAGAAGAGAAAAAATGTCAATTTTTTTTAAACGTCCATGAAATTGGTTTATTTTTACCAAAATTAATTGTCGTTAGGTATAAGGCATAGGAAATTCCATAAATTTTAATAAGTTATATACATTTCTAATTTCCGTTCACTACCAGCGGCCCGACACTAGACAAAGCAGAAAAATAGAGGTCGACAAGATTCGTCATTTTGAAGCCGCCATTTTGAACTTCCTGAATATTGAATATTTTTTTAATCGTTAATAAACAACGAATCAAAAGTTCAACAGCATAAGTTCGTATGTCTTTTCATTTTCCCGCAATCCATTCTCAAAGTATGCTTAATTTTCGGAAAAATCCAAAAGAACCTCCCCTTAACTCAAACAAAAACGAATTTTTTCGCCGTTTTGTGACTGTTTGATACCTGGATTCACCAACATACACCAGAGAGTAAGGAACAGTCAAAGCAATGGATCTCAACTGGAGGAACGGCACCGGTTTTCTGGGATGGGTGTGTAATTCATGTGGATTATCTGGAAAAAGGCGGAACAATTACGGGAGAATACTATTCCAATCTATTGGGACGATTTGATTCGGAGCTGAAGAAAAAAGGCCGCACATGGCGAAGAAAAAAGTTTTGTTTTACCAGGACAATGCTCCCGCTCACAAGAGCGTGTCGCCATGTCGAAATTGTGTAAACAGTCAAATGAACAGGTAATCTGTGAAACAAACACCTATTTTGAGGACCTGGGCAAGTCCTATTTTACGGAATGTATTGGGAAACCGGAGGATCGGATCGGTGGTAGAAAAATAAAAAAAGAAACGTATTTTCTTTGTAAGGCCGACTTTTTATCAGCCTACCCTTGTAAGTCAACTTTTGGAGGTTTTCTTTTAGGGATGAACCGATTTCGTGTGAATGTATGTAACATAGAGAGAAATCATCTCAGACTCCATAAGTATATATATTATTGATTAGCATCAACAGCCGAGTCGATATAGCCATGTCCGTATGAACGCGTGGATCTCAGAGACTATTAGAGATAGAGATTGAGGATTTGGCGTGGAGACTCCTACAATGCCCACGCAGTTGAACTTTGTTTTGCAACGCCCCCTCCCCCTCACAAATGCAAAAATTCTGTAGCGCAAGTACTGGTAGGTTTTTTTATTTTAAAAAACTTTTAATAGTCAATATACATCTGAAAAATAAATGTAATCGAAATCGGCCGATTTTTGGAGGAAATATATTCACATATATATTTTCCACACAAACGGGCTGAAATTTTGAACGCGTGGATTTCGAAGACTATAAGAGATAGAATTATCAGATTTGAAACTTAGGATCGTATGTTTATTTTTAACGCCCACTCCCGCCCCTGAAACAGAAATCTGATGTTAGCGCCAGTTCGTTCAAGGTTAATGGAAAATGTTTTAATGCAAAACTTTTCCAATGGCTGATTAGCCATGTAGATTTACAAAGCAGCCAAATCGAATAACTTTTTGAGGAGTTTTAGACTTTTTAGTTTGTTTCCCTACTGAATCGGTAGTATGGCCGCAGGTTTGTTGTTGTTGTCCTGCCCAAGCGTAAAAGTTTCACAAAAATCTTAATATTACCAATTAAGTCTACGGAATGTTTTATATTTTAGTTTAGTCACAAATTCAACAATCCGAATCGATCAATAGAACTTTTCAAATAAAACAGAAGTTTTTTACAGAGCAGACGCAGACACTGGCAAGATTGTTGGTGCTTTTAAAATCAAACAAAATGGGAGTGTGTGGGACCTGAAGTGAAATTGAAGTGAATGTGTTTTGCTGTCCTTCACTTATGTATATATCCTCGTAAGACAAAAGGAAACTGTTAAGTTTAACATAATTCTTTATGAACGAAAGTTATCAACCCCTCGCACCATGTTCCCGATCCCGTTTTCATCTTCAAAACTCATTTTTTCATATAAGGGCAAAGTAAATCTTGTGATTTAATCTTGAGGGACGTTCGTCTTCAAGCATGATAATATAAATGATTTAACTTGCATCACTCTGAGCTCTGGTCTTCAACATAAAAATTCAATCATGTGTTTCAGGGCATGAACAAAAACATTTTTCGCTCGTTCAATTGCTTGACGAAGTCAAATTGGCCGCATCGTGCAGCGTAATAGTTTGAACACTGCAATAGTTTGGACATTTACAATGCCTTGCCTTTTACTTGAGCATGAAACGGAGCCCTTTCCTTTTTCCCTTCAGTTTTATCCTCCAAAGATCCAAAACCTCTAAAAGCTCAAAAGAATGGCTGAAGAATGGAGTGTGGAATGGTGGAGTGTGTGAAGCGCAAGCGTGCTCCCGGCATATGGCACGACGTCAAAGCAGACGGCTCCTGCACAGGAGCGGGAACGCTTCCAAGACATACAAGGCAAAGCGGTTTTGCATTCAGCCTAAAAGGTCATTTGCGGAAATAGCAAAAAGCAACATACTTCTAAGAGTAGTCGACCGAATCTCAGAATACCTTAGGACGAGTGGAGTTGAGTGGAAGCCACCCTAGCCACAAAATGTTTCGAGGTCCTGGTCAGGGAATCAGGCTATGCCCCAGTCTGCGGTAGGAAAGATTGGTTAGGTCTTCGAGGGCGCCAAACTTATTGCGTTAAGCTTGTGTGAGGTCACCTGTCATAGATCCTGTATTGCAGCCACAATCAAGGAATTGCCCCAATTTC